AAACAAAAGTTGTATCCAAGATGGCCGACTTCTAAATGGCCACCATGGTCACCGCCCATCTTGAGGAGTTTGCCCCTCACATATACTAATGTGCCACAAACAGGACTTTAATACCACCAACCATCCCCATGTTATTACGCTGTATCCATAGAAATGACCCACCCTGTAGAATTATCCCCATTAAATGCGCTTGTGTTTTCTTTGTGTTTTTATCCGTGACTCATCAGGTGGACAGCAGGGACTGGGCACTGAATGGAAACACAATTTCACTCGATGAGGATACCGTGATTGACGTCCCTCAGCCATTTGGCCAGACGGACAGATACTGCGCGTCTCTGGGTCATAAAGCAAACCACTCTTTCATCCCCAACTGCAAATATGACCCGTGAGTATAAGCTGACAGGTTGACCAGCAGAGTCTGACATTTAAAAAAAAGAAGCCTGATGTGATTACAAATTGAACAGAAATAACCTCACTCAGACCAGCTGAAGACTTTCTGTAGTCATGCACCACCAATGTTGTTACTGCTCCCGAAGACATCAAGCAATCTTTGATGAGTTATACAGAAGGGAATTATTCTTAATAGAACTGTTTTTCCTCAGCTAGATCAGTGGTTCTCAAACCTTTTCATCATTCCCCACACATTCACGCCTCATCGAAGCAAAACAGTGACAGAAAGCTGCAACTTTATTTAGATAACAAAGTCATTCACAATGAATCCTTCAGTAATTTTTGTTTTAAACAAACAACTTTCATTTAACTATTTGAGGCTTTTGTCACTAGACTGCTTCATTAGTCTGCAGCACTTCTTCAAAAACAAGTTAAATAGAACGTGAACATTGCCAAACATGGAAAAATAAAGTTCAGTCTTAGTTTTATTAAAGAAAAGAAATCCAGAAACTTGTTCACAGAGATGAAAACATATAATTCAGTGAGCGTTTAATACTCTTCACTCTTAGTGGCTGCAGTGAGCCTGTTTCTGACTGCAGAGCTGTGCTGGGGCATGGTCTGCAGCTGCAGGGGAGACGGGCACACCTGATCAAGCCGATCACGCCAATCCCCAATCATGCCTCGCTGGCTTAAAACTGAATGAACTGGGTCCTGTTGTTGTTGATGTGTGTAGGCTGTAGCACAAAAGCTGCAGCCCAGTGTGTTAGTGGACAGCTGCAATAAGAAGTATACTGAAAATGTGAACACGTGGTCGGGTCTCTCGTGACCCAGTCCTGGTTTTCGGCACCACTGTAAACGATGCACGACAGACCCGACCACGTGTTCACGCTTTTCAGTGCACTTCTTCTTCTTCTTCTTATGGACACACGGCTGCAGCTTTCAGCAGATGTGCATATTATTAATCCTAATTAATTATAAATTTCTTTGTTCTGCTGTAAAAGTTAGTTCAGCGCGACTTTTCTGCCAGGTAACTTGTGCCCCACCTGTCAGAACTGAGAACCACGGAGACAGTTTGAACAGTTCAGTGGTCATGCTGTCTTAATAACACACAGTGTCATATAGTGGGGCTGGAGCCGTTTTCAGCTGTCGGTAGGTGAACAGTGAGCCATAGCCTGGACAGTGAACACCTGATTTGCATGTGGTTATTCCCCTTCCAGTAACAGCAAGTCAAAGATCAAGAGAGAAAAAAGTACATGTACCCCGCTTTAACCCCCTAACAGCAACGGTCCCATTAATGTTGTTATGGAAAATATCACATCAGCACCAGCAGTGGATTCTTTGGTTTTGGTTTTTTTGGGGGGCTAGTCAGTGTAAGGAGGCTAATGCTATACTCATATATACCTCTTGACAGAGGCTGCAGTTATTCTGTGTAGTTGGCCACACTTGTACAAAGATGACAAACGATACAGCTGCTCAGGAAAGCCTGAGCTAAGAGCTCATTGAACTAGCGACATGTAGTGATTTGATTATTTTATTTTACTAAGCTTCAAATGACAAAAAGCTAACTTAGCATGTGAGCACTGTCAAGTTTTAAAGTTAAACCAGTAGTTGTTTTTATAAGCAAATATTAGCATTAGCAGCTTATATCTCATCTGTGTAGAGTAAACACTGAGTTCAGGGTCATCAATCAACCATCATTACTCTCATCATGCACACATTTATTTATTTACGTGTTCGTCTTTGTAAACCAGCAAGGTTTCTTTCCAGGAGCAGGTGCTTAGAGCATTGTTGGCCATCCCATTCAATAAAATAACCGTTGTACCATTCATGTGGAAGCTCCGTGTATTCTATCCTTGTGTTAGCCTGCGTTAGCCTGCTGCACCATCTGAGAGTACAATGTAGAAGTCTCTAAAACACAAAGTTAGATGCTTTGAGAATAAATTCAGGCACCTGTTTACTTTAGTTAACTTTAGTTAACTATTTTAAACAACACTTTCAGTCACTGCCACTTGGGCAGTGGGTGATTCTAATAGGACCAGTCCATGGTACATCCTGCCTCCGGCCCTGTCTCATATCACCTTTCCTACACCAAAAATGTTCCAAAGATTTGCCCCGAGACCCAGTAATATACTAAGCATCTAACTTGTGGTACCATGACAGACGTCACTGTAGCATATCTCACAATGAAATCACAAAGTAGTGTTTCTTGCCTGACTTTGTGCATGTGTGTTTATCCTGGGTTTGCACAGGTTTGTCCATCCTCGTTTTGGGCCAATCAAGTGCATCCGAACCTTGAGGGCTGTGCAAAAAGATGAGGAGCTAACGGTCGCCTACGGTTACGATCACCAGCCAACTGGAAAAAATGGCCCGGAGGCTCCTGATTGGTACAAGCGAGAGCTAGAGGCGTTTGAGCAGAGAGGAGGGGCTCCTACTGGACAGTGAGATTGCAGATGAATACCTCTGGACAATGAAAACGTTCCCCTCTACCTGTGCTACCACCTTACAAGACTGCTGGAGCATTGTGGCAATTGATATTAGAGAAATATTTGCAAAGTTACCAAGTTTAGTATTCAAATGGAATACTACTTGAGCAATTCAGGATGATTGGAGGCCTCTCTCAGGCCAAAGAAACACAAGAACTATGCAAGAAACCAAATGATATTAGAGGAGACACATCTGTGGCTGGAGGCGCCGCTCTGTCTGACATCCTCTTCATCACACACACCCTCATTCAAGTCAAGATTTCTGTGCAACGATGACTTCCTTCAGTTTCCACTGTCTGAATCCTCACTCACTGTATGTGTCTTCTAGCTGCTGCTTACCTAACAGAGCTCCCCTCCAAACACCACTATTTGGACCCCACAGTCTTTGTGTCATCTGTTGCAAACTGTTCAGCCCACACTTCATTTGCACTAATTTACGTATCCCAATCTATACATTTCATAAAGTGTAACTTGACAGATCTGTTTACTTGCCGTACAGGATAAACATTGCAGTGGCTAATTTATTTCTAAGATCTGAAGTGGTTAGGTACTGTACGCCCTGAGCTTTGTAAAGGGCGTTTCTAATCCCAGAACTTTGGGAGAAAATAATGGAATGTCTGCCATTACTCACCTGTGAGCTTGTTTCACTTTTCTAACCAAACTATCTGTGTGCATATGCTCTCGGAAATAAAAGTACAAGGTAAGGAAACCCAGTCTGCATGCATCATCATCTTAAGACACAAGAATGGAAAGTTTCGACTTTTTTTGTTTTCATTTTTAATTGGTAGAATCTCCTGTAGCAGCAACGACCCCCATAACATCGCTGCTGATTGATAAAACGATGAGGACAGACTATTGACGAGTTCTCATCCTCTCTTTACCCATGTGCTCATTATCCTGTGTCCTGATTTATCACATCAGCCAAAACAGCGCTATCATTAATATTTTAATGTTTACAAAAACACAAATACAGTCACTGAAGAAAACAAGTTTTCACCGCTCTGGTTTCAGATGTCCAGGAGGCTACTTGGTAAACATGAAAGTAAATCTTGGCTTCCATATTTTTATTCCTTGACTCTAGCTTTGTGTGATTCACAGTTTACTTGCGTACTTGTAATAAGAGCCGTGTGCCGGACATCATACAGGTGCACGAATAGAAAGACTGCTTGGATCCTAAAGGTTTGGTTCGTGTGGATTAGGTGTAGATATCACAAAGAAAAGCATGATCAAGATCTTAAAGATAACCTGTAAACACACACTCACGGTGTACAAGAACAGCTTCTTACTGCAGCAAAACAATGTTCTGTAAACTTCTCCATAAAGCTACTTGTGCAATAACCATTAACCTGACAGAGATGAGAGATGGATCAAAATGTTGTCTAAATCGGGAAAGTCTGGGGGCTCCAAAGCAAGTTTTATTTCAGGGGAAAGCCTAGCTTCTTCTATGCAACGTGTCTTATCGATTTAATTGATTATCGTGGCTCAAAAGTCCACACAGTTGAGAGGATCGCTGTTTTCAGAGTCCATCCATTTTCGTTCCTGGTTTTGCCCATCGTTGTGCAGCTTAGGAGACCGGGCCGGTCGCAGGGCTGAAAGTCTTTGGACCGTGGAGAGCACGGACACTCCACGCCGAAAGGACCGGGCTGGATTTAAGGTCAGGAGCTTCCACAGTGTGCGTGTTAAACCTGCAGTGAGGGTGGGGCTTGGCTGCCCACGGTCCAGACTCTGGACTCGGAAATCCCTTCCTGCTCTCCACCTGCCGCCGGGCACAGGTTAACGGATAAACTTCCTACCTGCTGAACCAACATCGAGATCCGTCGAGTGCCCGGAAGATTCACTTTACCCGATAAAAGGGCCGTCGGACGAGAACAACAACGACACAGGTGTCGGTAGCGGGACTCATGTTTCTGAAAGCCGCTGCGAGGTTCAAAGTAACTTCAGGTTTCCACCGTCGAGCAGCTCCACCTTTCTTCTGACCAGAGTTGGCACACGAAGGACTTCAGGGTGCTTTGCGTCGGGTTAGCACCCGGACATGGACCGGTACAGGTACTTTATTTTTAACCAGAAGGGCGTGCTCGGCCTCGGTATCCTCCAGGTGGCTTGTGCTGGTCTCTGTGTGGTCTGCGGGCTCATGGACGCTGTTTTTCGCAAGGACACTCCGCTGAGTACCACCAGGACGCCGCTGTGGGGAGGACTGGTGAGACTAACGGGCATTCAGTATAACACAAACCCGCAGGACACCTGCCTGTTCGGGTATAAAACTAAACGGGTTTCGTCACTTAGATCTCCCGCTAGGATCCTTGTTTTGTCATCACTTTTCTTCTCAGCACTGTTTTGACCAAAGCTTTAGGCAACGAGTCTAGCGTTCTCTCCGTGAGAAATACACGGAGGATTTCCGCGTGAACAGTGTTAAAGACTTTCTCCCTGCATTTTAAACTGTGTCACTTTCTTTAGATCATGGCCTCTCCAGGTGTGCTGGCGCTGTTTGCCTCCCAGAGGAAGAACCCAGTACTGGTCAGTGTGATGGTTGCCATTTATTCTTGACTGATAACATCAGCAGGACTTTTAGAATGAATGAACGTGTCCGTTTCTCTGGAAAACAAGCAAACAAAAATAACAAGAAAATAAAAATAAAAAGATTCCGCAAAGTAGGAGGAGTAAATTCAGAGTTGTACTTTAGTTAAGGTGTTGGTGCATCTCTCACATTCGCATTAAAGGCCAACCATGCACCTTTGCTGAACTCACCTGTTATTTGATGTTTGTCCCCCACACAGCACTCTGAGCACTACAGCCAGTGAAACTTCACACAGATACAAGTGTGTGATGGGTGTTACTTCAGCAGCCCTGTCACAATAAAGAACCGTTTAAGGACCTCTGGTTAAAACTTGGATTTGGGCCTTTCCTCACCTGCCAACCTGCTAATGTTTACATATTAAATCTGCCACCAGCAGGTTCCTGTTCAGTCCATCAACAGGGCTTTGGACTAAAAATAAATTATTTGGATTATGATGGTCAAGGATGCAAGGGACCAGGCGAGGTAGATGCAGATGGTCCAGTGTGGAAGAAGAAAGTTTATGATGTACTTAATTTATTTTCCTCTTCAGACAACATGTTCTCTAATCGAACTCTAACAAACCGATACCCCGCCCTACACCTAATTCTAAACCAATACAAACTCGTACAGCTCTTTGGAGCGCTGTAAGAACCAGCCAGACTGTATTCACTTTCTAAAAATGTCCTTTCTCCAATGGTTTGAAACTCAAACTTGGCTTCATTAAAAGGTAGTCGTACACACATAAGCACAGAGTCCTCTTTCTTTGGCTGAACTTGTGTGTCTGTCCTCAGGTGAGTGTGATGGTGGTGGCCTCAGGCCTGTCTGTTTTGGCTGCAATCATCATATCAAGTTACTCCTGTCTGACCCTCACCTATGGGCAGGAGGATAAAGAGGTCTTCCATCACCACAACAGTCCTGAAGTGGTAACCTGCACACACACAATCACTGTTTTAATCAGTGACTCGTTTCTTGACGAAGTCAGTTGTAGTAAATAAGACCTGGTTGCATTTCATCAAGAACTAACAGGTCCTGCTGTTGTGAATGACCAGCTTGAGGTGCTTTTACACAACGAGTTTCAGGAACTTTAACTTCTCAAGATCATCTGCAGGGGTAAAGTGGTTGAAACATTCAGGAAAATACGTTCAATCCCTGTCTGCTCCAGTCTGCATGCCAAATATCCTTTGGGAAGATACTGACCCCAGGTTGCTCTCCAGTACATCCATCGGAGTGTGAATGTGTGTGAATGTTAGATAAGAAGTGCTTGTGCAAATGGGTGAATGAGGCAAGTTGCTTTGAGTGCTCAGAGTAGAAAGTGTTCTAGGAACAGGTCCATTGATCATGTTCCTTATCGGAGGTCTCCAATTATTTTAGATGTGACACTGGTCACCTGCATCTCCTGCACAGTTACTTGTGCAGGAACCTAGCATAACCTTTCTGAATGTCCTGACACATTAATGTTGTTCAGCAAACAAACAAATCAAATTCCATGTTTGGGGTTTTTTGTTGTTGTTGTTGTTGTTGTTGTTGTTTTTCTGTTCCTCTGAGTGGGTTGATGATTTACATATTTACCAGCAGCTCATGTTAGCATGCCTTTAAGCTCACATCTTCCAACAATGTCAGAGGCGTCCTATTGGAGAGGGAAACCTTGCTATGCGTTCTCCTGATGTGATCTTGACTCACATCAGCAGCACTTCTGGCCAGCTGTTTCGCAGTAGTGCAGACACTAGGATGAAGCATGGATGTGTGAGCTGGTGTTGCTGCTAAGGATGTGGGACGTCAGTGCTGCCTGTCTGTCACATCCTGATGTTTTTTATATGCCCTCCTTTGTACGACTCTATATATGCAGACTTATCCACAGTTCATGGAAGTTGATTACACACAAACATGTCTTGTGGCTTTCCAGTTTTGTTTTGTTTTTGGGTAGTTTGCTGAAATGTGTAACAAAAATGTCCAACACATGGAGGGATAAATAAATGTGCAGCTTTTTGTTTCGGTGCTGGTGTTTTAGAGAGATAATTTCACTCTGATCTCCCCCCATTTCTTTATTACACACACACTTCATGGCTGTAACATTGTTCGTCTCCCTGCACAGACGTTTGTGCTTCATCGGATGGTGAAAGGTGCCAACGCCACCATCCTGCTAACCTGCGCCATCAGCCTGGTTTTCTCCTCTGTCATCGGCTACATGGGCTGTCGCAGCATCCCCTTGTGTGCCTGCTATGATGCCAGAACTGGACTGGTAAGGACAGCATAGTAAAAAATCATAACATGTTTTCATCTCAAATTATTTATTTAGAATGAACAAAAAACACAAAGGTCAAATTTACTCTAATGTGCTGTAATTGTAAGGAACAAGAACCCTGAAAGTCATGATTTCATTTGAAAACGCTAAGATTAAAGCAACATGATAACCCTCACATTAAAATATGAGTAACGGTGTATTTCAGAGGAAGACGACTCTGGTTTTTAACTAAAGAAAAACGTGAACTAATAACACGTGCAGAATGTTTTTATGTTGCAAACATACTTGGACAAAGACACGGGTCAGGACTAAATGTGTTTGCCACACAGATTTAAACAAAAAAAGAAGCTACCTATGGTTGTTTTCGTAGGATTGTCCACATTCACTAAGGAGCTGCTAACATTAGCCTAAAATATTAGTTACAGCTTGCTAGTTCCAGCATAGCTCCGCATGTTTCCAGACTAGATGCTGCAGATTTTGGTCCATACTGACAGTTGCAGCAGTTGCTATAGATTTGCCATTTGCACATCCCTGATGCAAATCTCCCACTCTGCCACATCCCTGTAATGGATTGAGGTGTGGTGACTGTGGAGGTGATTTGAGTGCAGCGAACTCGGTGTTACTGAGCTGTTTGAGATGAGCTTTGTGACGCTGTGCAGCCATCAGAAGATGAGCACACTGAAAGACGACATGGTCAGCTTCATTTATAACGAGTCTCCAAAAGTGTCTCCACCATTACAAGTGGCACCAGCATCCTGAGGAGCAGCTGAAAGCCAGGATGGAGCCGTGTGCAGTTGATAACATTTTGGTGAGTCACTGTGACCTGATCGGCTCATAGGAGCAGCACCCAACGGCGTCTTCTGCTTTAGCCCGTTTGATTCAAAGTTCAACAAGGCTGTGCTTTCTGAGATTCTCTTCACCACACCTTGGTCATAACGGGTGCTTATTTGAGTTCACGTTGCATCAGTATCAGATTGAAATAGTCTGGCTCTGATCTCTGGCATCAACAGGGAAGTGCAGCACACTATACATTTACATCAAAAGGGCTTTGGACAGGCGTACCTAATGAAGCGGATCCTAAATGTTTGCAGGAAAATGGCCCAGCTGTTTGAGCTGGTTTATTGATTGTGCGATATCAGCAAGCGCTCTCTGATTAGTTTAACGTCTCATTACAAAGTGCTGTGAATTTCCCAACTGTGGGACTAATAAAGCCTATCTTATCTTACGCGTCTTATGATTATTTTCAAACTGATGGTTCCAGTTGGAGTAAACAAGGCAATTAAGACCAGATATGATTAAGGGTGGGCGTTGTGGTTGTCAGGTTGCTGCCATATAAGTCCAGCGTGTCTTCATTTCTTAGTTGGGTCCACCCCTTGGTTCTCATGTCCAGTTTCCTAAAACCAAGCTGGTGACGTCTTTAAAAAAAACCTTTACTAACCAGTGTGACATAATCACAGTGGGGTTCTCACGAGGCCACACCTGGATGTTCTGTTTTCACTTCAGTTTGTTCACCATGTGTTGTGTGTGTGTTTTCAGGAGAGCCTGGTTCCTCAGTGTGATCCCGGGGACACGGAGATGTGCACTTTGCAGAGTAAGCTTTAAATGTGGATCCTGTGTTAGGAAATTTTCTCAATAATCAAGGTGAACCCAGCATATAACATTTTAATGTGGTGGATTTAGGTTAAGTGTGTGTTGGTGTTTTATCACCAAACAATGATAACAAAGAAAGAAATTTCAGACACTACTCAGGAAATCTCACCATGAAGCCTCTGACAGAGAATGAGACGATCATGTACAATGAAGCAGCAGGTTCAAAGGTCACGGGGGCATCCACATTAGTGTGCTGCTCTGTCAGGTTTGTGTAGCAGTGGGCCTGATTGGTCTCTAGTGGTAAAAGGAAGTAGCATGAGCACTCTTCCTCTGAAACATATTCATTAATCTTTTTTCTTGTACTTGTCACATGAAGCATTGTGGGAGGGGCTTGAATCTAATCTGCAAAACAACAGCATCGTTTTTCTGATGCCAAACAACATAGGCTGAGCGGGCCACCATTATGATCCAGAGACTTCTAATAAACGTCCCACCCATTAACTAGTCGCGCCTTTATGCACCACAAACTCAGGGGACCTAAGTCTCGCCCGTGTTTCTGTTTTTTGTTGTCCAACTCTCAGCAGTCCTGTAATGAAGTTCTCATGTGTGTCCAGCAGGAGGAGACAACAGGCTGTTTAACTCTCCAGCTCAAACGACTCACAAAGACGATCCAGAAGAAGAGGAGGGTTCCTCCAACCTGCCCCCATACAGCAGACTGACCTGACACCATGCCTGTTGGGGACTTCATACTCCTGCTTGCTTCCTTCTGACTGCAGGTTCATTATATTTAAAGCTAAAGTCTATGGGTTTACTTCTGAGCACAGGCAGAGGCGGAATTACATAATTCAAGTGAAGCTCAAGATGCCAAGTCTTGAAAAACAGGACTTTTTACAGATCTGTTGTGAGACATGAATTGTTGCGCTGTGGGAGTTTCTTTTGGTTAATGGCCTCACAATTCCACAGTCAGACTCATTTAAACTTGCCAAAGCCTGAACACCTGTGTGTGCGTCGTGTCAGTACTTTCATGTTTAATTCTTTTTACGCTGTGTGAATGACTTTTGCTCTGACTTAATATATTTGATATGTATGCATTAAATACAAATTGGACTGAACTGTTGGAGAGCTGAAACATTATTGCACATAAAACCACAGAATCTCCCTTTTTCTCCACCAGTTTAATGGATTTAATTCATTTCTTTCGGCCCATTTACAGTAAGATATACAGCAATCCTGTCTTGCATCTTTAAAGAACAAAAGTAAACCAAAGGAAGTTACAGTAGAGCCCAGTGTGAAGGCGGACTTGGAATGAAAACAAAGGACACTTTGCGAACAGAAAAAAGCAGCCGAGCCCACAACAATTAAAACCCACGCAGTGCCCACCCCCCCATTCCAGTCACATCACTGACAGGCTCCACAGATGCTTGGGCTGTGAACAGCAAGTCCTGAGAGAAAGTGGTGTTTTCATTTACTGTGTGTCTCTAGTGTACCAGCTGTGGTCAGACATGCACAAACTGACACAAAGCCACAAAATGACTCTATGGACACCAGCAAAGGGGCCGTCGCTGCTTGTGGACGGAATGATGGCATTTATTGTAGAATGCTGCCAGACATGCTTAGTATTATATCACAAGCTTATGTGTAATCTAAGTAGCGGATGTAGACATTACTCCACATGTTAAGACACCTGAGCGACGCACTATGAAGTAGGGAAATCCAAGGTCAGCGCAATGTCTGCAATAACAATTTGCCTGATAGTTAATTTTCCCTTTTTTGTAAAGAAAAAACTATTTAAAGCTTGAGAGTCCCGGGTATTTAACCCTTTGATGAACTGTCCTCTTGGAGGTGGTTCCAGAGCAGATTCACATCTCTAGGTCACGCTAGCCATGGTGTCAATCCTTCATCAGGTGTCCCCCCCCCCCCACCATCCTGTGAGTTGTTATGGTCACACAGACAAAGGTGTGAGTGAGGGCTTAATGACCTGGGAGGGGATCTGAAGAATGCATCGTGGGTGGATGATGGCTGGCGTCACCGCCACCACATTGATACATACTTAACTTATTTGTTTTAATCATCTGATTGGCCAGCAGAATTGTACCCTACACATAAAAAGCAGTATTTAACCAGTATTTCCCGTAAAGGTTCCCGTTTGACTGACTGAGCACATTCCTTATATGTCATTGCTCCTGAATTACAGACAAGATTAGGAATTGGAAAAGCAATAGCGCCATATTTTTGTGGGGCATCTTAGAACATTAGCATCAAATAGCCAAAGGTTTTTCAAGATTTATCGATATCTTAATAAAAATGTATTTAAATGTATTTATTAAGCTATAGGTCCTGTTACATTTTATATTCCTGGCAACTTCTGCAATGCCACAATCTCAGTGTTCATCAGCAGGGTATTTAGTCCCAGTTTTTATGTTATAGGAAAACTACAGATCTTGTTTCAGGAAGCAAATCCATTCAAAAACAAAAACCTGGAGAAAAGAGAGTGAAACAGTGCTAGCTCTTTTCAGACTGTGGTACTCTATTGCAGTATACAAAGGTTCATTTAAAGGCCTAATAATAACAACTGCTGCACACAGACTGTACATACATAGAAAACACCTTACCAGTTCCTCCCACTGTTCAGAAGTGAAACAAAAACAGAGGAAATTAGCAAACTAGATTAGCAGCTAGATGGTAGCCATGATTTCCTGGATATTTTAGCTCCAATTATGAGGAGCTATATTAAGGCCTGACATGAAAAAGACTTGATCATTTCCTCACCTTTTATTGGCACAATGTTTCAGTAAAGGTGCGAAAGATAATACCATTTGTTAACTGTCCGCTAATGCTAATGCTACGTTTACAAACAATTTATTAGCAAAGATTTTGCTCAAAAAACAAATTTGAGTTGTCTCGTAATTATGTGGATGGTTTTGTGCTTCCCTGGGACATTTATCAGGACATTAAGTACCAAGTATATCTACTGGTAGCTGTGGTTAGCAATGACTGTACATGCACTGAAAACACCTTAGCAGTTTCCCCCACTGTTAGGAGGAACAGGAAGTGGATTAATATCGTTTTCTCTGAAGCAGCTTCAGCTGTAAAAATAAAAGTGAGCTGACACAGATGGGAGTGGTTCACTAGGTGCGATGCCAGTAGCAGACATCACGGCATGAACTTGATGTTGAATCTTTTTGTTTGGCTGGAAAAGATGTGATGAATTGGTCATAATGGACACATGATTGTTGTACATGCTCCCAGACCCTGCCGTGGTTTGAGGTTGTCCTAATAATTGACAAATAGCTAAAATTTGCCTTTAACTTTACGAAACCACTCTGTAAAACTGTCATTGAAGTAATCATACTTCTTTACTTTCCATCTACTCTTAATATTAAACAAACTTCACTTCGGCATAATAATAAAGTTCATATAGTAGGAGGAAAAAGAAAGGTTGTCCATAACTCAATGAATCAGCCCAAAACAGAGTGGAAAAAACTCCACTTTTTCTATAAAAAGTCAATAATGTGGATATTGTTCCCTCCATGCATTTCATTCCAATTTAGTATTTCAGTGAACTCGTTATGACTAAGTTACACACAGAATATTAATGTAAGTGGACAATTTTTTAATCACTGGAGTAAAAGCAACAGGATTTAAAGGCACCCTGTGAAGTTTTCAACTCATAGTTGTAGCCGCTGTTTTTAACGGTCTGCACACTCTGCTAGCACGCGCCTGTTTCTGCTTCTTATAATTAACTTTAGCATTAATGGTGATAACAAGCTAAGAAAGCAAGCAGTTCAGCAAAAACACCCTCAGCTTCTGGAGGGCGACCAATCAGAAGAAAGTGTATGAACAGAGGGGATACACTGGAAATTCAAAGTCCCAGGAATAAAGAATTAAATGTAGTGTTACTTGAGAAAAGTTAGTCTGATGGTGTCCCAGAATAGAAACATAGACCGTGGACTGGGACGACCAGATCCCATGTGAAATATTCAGAATACTGCATCTGCATATTCACACTCAACATAAACAAAGAGTGAAAATACTATTTAGATGCAAACTTCACATGGAGCCTTTGATGAGACAACTAAAACCAGCCACCTGTGGAGTGTTACACCCACGAGGGGCGCAGAGATAACATGACCAACACCTTTAAGATAATGCAGTCTACAAACATTATAATACCACAGTGACACCGCTCTTCTAACATACAGTCTAATTAAACAGCATGTAGTGCATTACTTTGTAAAGTGCTCTGTTATTTTGACCCTACATATCTGCCTCTACTGAAGGAGTTAAACGAATAATTACTGATTTAATATCAGATTTTTGGCCCCAGTTTTCCAATCATTCATTGGCACAGTTCATTTCCGTGAACCCTGCCAATCCTAGACAGTCACATACTGCCTCAAATGGTTATAAGTCAGTTAAGCACAAGCAGTGAACTAATATATCCTCTACTGGAAACATTCATCTGTTGTTCTGATTGTGAAGCCATTTTTTAAGAACAATTTTCTCTTTTTTGACATCCGTTCTTCGCTCTGCCCCGTCTGCCTCCAACCTCATCAGCCATCAGCCACCTTGGGCCGAGCTCGTCTCCTTCTATCCTCTCCGTTAGCCCATCTCAGCAGCTGGTGCAGCCCCAGCTCCTGGTCCCGTCCCCCCCATCATCCTGCCCCCTGTTTAGGTTGATGGTTCCCCCTGATGCCTCAGGGGGCTGGCTGAGCACCAGGGGCTTCTGAGACTTCAGCTTATGGGCGACTGTCATGAAAATAGCCTCGACATGGTCACTATTTCCATAGTTTCTGTCTCCTTGGCTGTTGGGATTCTTTGCAGATGTCTCAAACAGCGGCATGGAGTGGGCGTCTGCGAACTGTTGAGCCAAGTCCGTGTTTACTTGCACGGAGTCTTGGAGGTCACACTTGTTTCCGACTAAGATCCTGGGTACCTCTGTGCCCAGTGCATGCTGCTTGCACTCTTCGATCCAAGCAGGGAGGCTGTGGAAGCTGGCAGCGTTGGTGATGTCATAGACAAAGACAACAGCGTGCACGTTGCGGTAGTAGTGCTGCACCATGGACTTCCTGAAACGCTCCTGGCCTGCAGTGTCCCACAGCTGGATCTGTACGAGACAATACAGAAGTGAAATCCTGCCAGAAGACAAGCAGTGATGTCATTTACTCACAAATTACATTCATTATTATAATAAGATTATTATTATTATACCGTTTTTCTAATCTTACTGACTGCTCCAAGTGGTTTTAGTTAGAACAGTCCAAACTAGAACTGTGTTTTTATCCATATTATTGTGTCACTAAGTTCTACTGTCAGCCAAAAACCATTACAAACACAACACTGACACACTGTTTCTACATTGTTGCAGGTCTCATGATCTGTGCATCAGTATTAGAAATTAGGGAAGAGTCAGTTAGTGTTGAAATGTGGCTGTCATTGTTAATGCCAGTTAACTGAATTAGCTGCCAACTGGAGATACCACAGCAGCTGTTCTTATTGTATTACTTCCTATGATGACGTATGTGTCGCTGGCACTCCTGTAGTGCAGTGCCTGCAATTGTGCAGCCACAGCAAATGAAGCCCTTTACGATCACACTTATGCAACACAGAAATCCAAATATCTGTGCAGATCATTGATGCAGCTAGCTCATTAACTGAAATACCTGGTCTAAATATGTTCAAAGTTCTTTCTCTTATAAAGACCCCCCCCCCCCCCAAAAAAAAAGGTCAGATTAAGTGGTACATTGTTCTAAAGCGAGCGCAGTGGAGTAGGCGAGGTTAAACATTGGCCACACAAACATACATTTGAGTGGATTTAGGAGCCATTAAAATCTTTGATAATCAAGTCATGTTTTAAATGTTGTAGGAATGTGTGGCACTTTGTAAATATTACTGAAAACAGATTCGTTTGTAAAGAGTGGCTAATGTTAGCAAAGCTAGCAACAGCAACCTTTCCTTCTTTACAGGCTCACAACTGTACAGACAAAATCAACATGGTGTGGACCAAACTGTTGAGGCAGTAGAGTGCAGTAAAAAAAATTAGAATCACAATTGACAGAACATTTTACTCAACTCGATTAACATTCTTTTATACGCTTGTCTTCCTGCATGG